CGAACTTTCGACGTCATCTATCGAGAGCTCTACTTCGTTATTAATGAAGCTATGACGAATGAGCTCCCATCTGAATTCGCCGATGGCACTATTGTGTTGGTTAAAAAGCGAGGTGGGGATGGGACAGCAAGAGCATACCGTCCGATCAGCCTGCTCAACGTCGATTTCAAAATCCTCTCCCGCGTGATGAAGGCCCGTCTGGAACGAGTACTGCGGATCCATCGAGTCCTGAGCGACTCTCAAAAATGCGCAAATACCGACCGTTCTATTTTCCAAGCTACACTCTCGCTCAAAGATCGTATTGCGCAGCTAATCGCGAGGAAGCAGAAGGGGAAGTTGATCTCGTTCGATCTTGACCACGCGTTCGATCGGGTCTCTCATGAGTTCCTGCATCGGACCTTGCTCTCTCTGGGCTTCACCCAGGGTTTCGTTTGTTGGCTCTCTCGAGTCGCTGCTGCCTCTTCATCACGGCTGCTAGTGAATGGGTGCCTCTCAGAGCCGTTCCGTATAGAACGGTCCGTACGCCAGGGAGACCCGATGTCGATGCTGCTGTTCGTGCTCTATCTTCATCCCCTCCTCACACGGGTGGAGCGTGTATGCGCTGGTGACCTTTGTGTTGCGTATGCTGATGACATCACGGTGATTGCCACCTCAAAACACACGATCGACCGTATTTATCAGCTGTTTGGTAGCTTCGAGATCGTATCCGGGGCAAAGCTAAATCGACTGAAAACAGTGGCGATCGATGTTGGTTTTATCAATGGAAATCCACTGACGATACCAGGGCTGCAGACAAAGGAGAATGTCAAGGTACTTGGCGTTATTTTCACCAACTCAGTGCGACTGATGGTTAAACTAAACTGGGACGCTTTAGTATCGAGGATCTCGCAACTCATATGGTTGCATAACATGCGCTCCCTTTCCCTGCAGCAGAAAGTGCTACTGCTGAACATCTTCATTGCAGCGAAGGTGTGGTACCTCTCGTCTGTTATTCCACCGCAATGTGCTCACACGGCGAAGCTGACATCAACGATGGGGACTTTCCTTTTTCGTGGGCTACCCGCACGAGTCCCAATGCAGCAGTTGGCGCGCAGCAGAGAGCAGGGTGGATTGAAACTGCAACTGCCGGCGATCAAATGCAAAGTACTTCTAGTCAATCGTCACCTGCAGGAGATCGTTTCCCTTCCCTATTATCAGTCCCTTCTCGCCCAAAATATTCCTCCCCCCGCCGATCTTCCTTGCCTAAAACTTCTCTCACAGCAAATTCCCTTATTTCCACACCACATCCAACAAAACCCCTCCAGCGATCAAATCCATCGTTTCTACTTGGAACAAACTGAGCTACCCAGAGTGGAACGAAACCATCCAGGCATCAATTGGAAAAAGATCTGGATGAACATATCATCGAGAAGGCTATCGTCGAGCCAGCGTACTGATCTCTACCTGCTAGTGAACGAGAAGACGGAGCACCGTAGACTGATGAACGTCATCGGCCGTGCAAACGACCCAAACTGTCAGCACTGTGCGGTAGGAATCGAGACTTTGCAACATAAGTTTTGCGAATGCCCTCGAGTTGCTGCAGCTTGAGCACACATCCAGCGAAAATTGACGACGACGCTCGGCGGCTGGCAGAGGCTGAGCTTCGACGATCTTGTACGGCCAATCTTGGGTAACATGACAACAGCGAGAAGAAATCAAATTTTAAAAACGTTCATTAAGTACATCAACTTTGTCAATGTGAATATTAACAATAGAATAGATGTAGGCGAGCTAGATTTCATTTTGACTCTAGAAGATTGATATATTTTTAAATATCTTGAATATGTTATTTAAGACCTAAATAAACAATATATTACAAAAAAAAAAAATCCCAAAATTACATCGAAGAATGCCTGAAAAATCGTGTATTGCCGTTCATCCGCAAGCATAGGGGCAAAGTCATCTTTTGGCACGATTTGGCCAGCTGCCAATACTTCAAGGTAGTTCTGGAGTGGTATGCTGCCAACAAGATTCATTGTGTTCCCAAGCAAATGAATCCTCCGAATTGCCCGGAATTTCAATCAATCGAAAAATACAGGGCAATTTCAAAGCAGCGACTTCGACGAAGCGATGAGGCAGTCAAGGACATCCAGAATATGCGGGAAAAATCGATGAAATGCGCTGATTCCGTGTCCGTTTCCACTGTGCGGGCGCTCATGAGGAAGGTTCGAGATTTCGTTCGAACTGGAGAAATGTAACCATCTAATGCTGTGACTTTGATGTTTTAATACAAGTATTGTAAAGCAACCATTAATGGATTTTTTAACCTTATTGAATCACGAATTACAGATCCTTTTGTACGTACCAATTTACTTTTAGTCAGCCTTTACAGTCATATTTTGAAGAGAAGGGAATATTTATCCCATCAGATTAGCATTTTATAGGGTTAACTACCCTATTTCCGGCCTATTAAGCACAATCCGCACTTCATCTTTCTTAATCTAGCAAAGTTTAGCACCAAACGGAATGTTATTATTACTGATGGCTTTCAAATTTATTTATCTTTCCGTACGTACCGTAAGATTTGAAAAGGAGAAACCAAGCGTTGAGATATTTTCAAAAGTCTAACACTGCTTCTTGACGCCAAACTCGGCCTACGGATTCTAAACTCGGCCTAATGCATTGAAGCGCAATTGAAACGCCAATGAATTCACTTCGGCATATCGGATGAAGATAAAAATTGATTGGGTCGGAGTGCGTCTTTTGTTTTTGGAAATAATGGGTGCAAACCTTCAAATCACGCGTTCTCAGAGACTTCGTTCCGTAGCTTATTAAGTAAAGCGTCGTACCAAACGCATAATTGACTTGTTAACTCTGAAATCATAGATTTATTTGAAGTTTTCTGCTCGAAATGGGCTATTAGGCCAAAGTAGTTCTCTACCCTATAAGTTTCAAAAGGAAAAAAGGGGAACAGGACTTAAGAAAAATCCAAATATAAACCACAACCGAATGGGTGCTTTTAGCAGAAGAAAATAAAATTTAAACTCAAGCTGAAGAGATTTATAAAGAAGAAAATAGCTTAATTTCAGATGGAGAGTCTTCAGAAGATGAAAGCAAAAATGATAGAATATATAAACACTGGAAAAGAAGAAGGTTATTACTCAGAGATGCTATGTGTTTCACTTATCTGTTTCATAAAACATTTTGGGTTAAATTTCACATTCGGTTAATGAAAAACAAAGTAGAAAATAGTAAAAAAAAACTGGCAAGAAGAAAAGCAACGCACTTAATGGGAACTTGTGAGATGCACGCTTAAAATATTTTAGCAGAGAACTTTTTAATTGCTTAAGTACTTATAGTAAAGAAAACAAGATCTGCGTTTCACAACGAATCACTTCACGGGACTATACCGAGGCGGGGAGCGCTGCTGATGAGGTGTTTACACTTATGCTATTTCACTAGCGCTAATGAGCTAACTGCTAGTAAAAAAGCTCACTAGCATAATGTAAACAGGGCATCAGCGTCTACCAGCATGAATTTTACGGAGCAATTGGAATTCGTGCTAGTTGGAAAGTACACTAGCGCGAGTAAATCCGCACAGATGTAAACACCCCATGATGGAAAAACAATTATAAGTTAGCCAGGGAGTCACATCCCAGGAAGAACTTATAAACATTGTCCCTAATTAATATATATACACTGAAGTCTTTTTTACACGGTTTTTTTACGCGGTTTTTTTACACGGTTTTTTTACACGGTACGTTTTTAACGATTTCTCGACAACGATACAACCTATCGACTTGCTTCCAACCACATTATCCGTTCCAAGCTATAGGTAATCGAATGGCATACTTAAAAAAATCACAATTTTTGGTGTAAATACAGAAATTTTTAAAATATGTCTATATGGACCATATTATACTTTAATTACAAATGGCATCAAAATCCGATTTTTTAAAAACATTTAAGCATGTGAAAAATCAAAATCTCGTAGGTTTTTTTTACACGGTTTTTTTTTACATGGTACGTATCCCCCGTGTAAAAAAAGACCTGAGTGTATATATTTTGTTATAAAAAAAACATTTACTGGTTTTCTGGTTTTGGACATTTGAGCCTAACAACTAAACTACTTGAAAAAAATACAACACCCATAACGATTTCTGATGTTACAGTTCGAAAAAAGTAGTGTTCAATATGATGCTCATAAATGGAGCGTCACATATCATAAAAGTTTACATTAAATGTCGTTTAAAGTTAAGAGTAATTTCATGGAACATGAATGTATGAAAATGACCATTTTTGTATGCAACATTTCGTGCAAGTTGCTAGTTTACATCACCAGTATTATTCAGATTGTTTTACTGTGTACACCAATGGAGTAGCAAATAGAAAAGTATCTTTTACGCATTTTAATATTTCATTGCAGTGATACTGACGAATCGTTTTCGATGAGTTACGCAAGTATTTCATGAATTCATCTAACAATATTAAGAAAAAGCTTTCATGCTAAACACCTGTACTCAAACAGCATCCCGCCCTGATGCAAACCCTTTTAGTACATTTTCGTAATCAATTTAACATCCCGAATTTAAATCAAACTGGGCTTGATTTATGTATATATTTAAAACGAACTTCTGATGAAGTATAGGCGAATTAAAACTCCCGCGTGACTTCTGAAAACTGCGTATAAAACCACGTTAATCTAGGATTTTTCAAATCTAAAATCCAGTACAAATCCCAAAAAACACGTTTAAAAATCGCGTAAAAACCGACTCCAGTGTACATGAATGGGACGATCTGATTTGTAAACAACTGTTTTACGGTGTAATCAGCTACAAGGGAAGTTTGTTTTCGTCTTAATTATCGTCCATGGGCTTCTAATCAATTTGATAACTGTCATCGGAGGTAAAACACCTTGCTGATATTTGATACAATGCTATTTAAAAGCCTCAAGCATTGAATTGATTACGAATTCAGGTCCGTTATCTTTAACAGTCTCGCCACTTTGATAAACTACTAACCTGAATTCCTTCTGAAGTAGTTCAACCAACGCCAATCGGCTGGCATTATGAATAGTGCAATGACGATCAGTATCGCAGGTGTTCCGTCCTTGATTTTCCTGCATGACAAATTAGATTACGTCAGTATTATTGCATCGTAGCGTCAACCTGAACTGCTACTCACACGTCCGGGAAAATGTCCGACCAGCCACTAACGAATCCTGGACTCCGGGAGAAGAACAACACCACCGACAGAATAAAAAGTATAGCAACACTGATTTCATTTGACTTCATTGGTCCCATCTCCTTGTAGCGAGTTTCGATCACCCGCTTGGCCACAGCTTCCCCTTCCTTGCCGATTTCTGATTGTTTGGCTTGCTCACTGTGCGGTCTGAACAATCCCATAAAGTGCCACTGTAGATACATCCATACAAGAACCACGTTCAGCAGCATCAGTGGTACGTTGAAGAACATAAAATCTGGGAAATCGATTCCTTTTGCCTCGGGGAAACGGTTTTCATAGATGCCCTTAAAGGTTAGATTGGTTCCAGTTCCAATGAGTGTGCCACATCCTGTGAAAGATATTGATTAGATATTGAGATCGAAGTTTCAAACATGTAAGCTTTTAATCAAATTACCTCCTATACTTGAGGCATAAGCAGTCCCCAAGAAATAGCAGAGTGTTGTATTGGATGGTTTTTTGTGCCTAGAGGTAAACATTTCGTTATAATTCGAGAACGGATCTAACCAATTGTACTGCCTTACTCGTCCTTGGGTGTATTTTTATGAGTGCCACTATCAGCATCTTCAGGTGAGCTAGGACTTTCGTACATGTGACAGAGTCCTTGCTGAAAGAACACAAACAGTTTAAAGCATTTAGCTTATCGCAAAAGATCCTTACTCACACATTCCAGCTCCTCCAGTACGGCTTGTACGATCGGGCACATCATGGCCACGGCAGCCGTGTTAGAGATCCACATCGACAGAAACATGGTGACAATTATCAGTCCGAAATGCAACCTCCGCTGGCTGCATCCAATCAGATCAATGACTTTCAAGGCAACACGTTTATGTAGATTGCAGTACTCAATTGCCAGAGCCAGAACGATTCCACCAATGAACATTATAACAGGTTCCTTCATGTAGACCATGCAGGTCTTGCTAGTGCTGAGGATTCCCATTAGAGGAAACAGTACAATTGGCAACATGGATGTGATGGGCAGGGGAAGGGCTTCCGTTACCCAAAGCATGGACATTACTATCACAACGTAGAGACATCGGAAGGCAGGTGAGGTGTCCACTGTGAACAACACAGTTGCAACCGTTGGAACAATTAGTACCAACAGTGATTTCCAGTACACTTGAATGAACTGTAGCATTCGGTGACAATATCCGATCTGAGAGTGATCACCTCTTGGCTTTCTGAAAAATTATTTGATAATTGTGTTCATCGTGTTTCCTCTGATACTCCCAAAACTTACACTTCATCTTCCTTCTTCACACCGTTCACGTTTTCTGCAATCATTTTGACTGCATATCACATATATCAAATGATTTATGAACTTATGATCTAAATTTGATCTTCCTTACACAGAAGCTTTTTAACATCTCATAAAAAACTGATTTATTTAATCAATGTTCTGTTTGGTGCAAGATGATTATTCAAAGATAGAATTAACATGGATTCATATTATCTACTGATATCTACTTCATGTTTGTATTATTCACAAAATCAAAATCCAAACACGTTCCAATAGCTCCAAAGCTAACGAAAGACTAAAACGTGCTTAAATTGCTGTAACATGTTATCATGTAATTGCCCATATCTGTCACTGATAGAACTAACGAGTAATCAGCAACTATAAGCTATCTTATTCTAGGCATACGGGAGCTGTCGAAGATATAGCTACGCATTGATGGTGATTGTTGTTGCGCTTCTAAAATTGATTTCCTTCGTAGGTCTTCCATAGCCGTGGCTGTAAAATAACTCAAATATGATTTCATGTTGGGGTGGCCAGCTGGGTCTCAGTACACAAGGCAAGAATAACCTAAAATGTGTTAAAATAACCATACTAATAAAAAAAAACAAAAGTAAACCGTATAACTACTAAATATATGATGTCATTGTGATATGAGTTTTAGATGGAACTCAATTCACATCCATGGTAGGACTCGGTAGAATGCTATGCTGAAAACATTCTTGAGTTATCTTACTTACTTGATACTTGATGGGCTACGAATCGCCTTGTTGATTCTGCGCCGAACGAAGTAGTTTTCTCAACTGGACTCGGTCAGCCAATCGCTTCCAATCGCCACGAACGTTTAGCGACCTGATGTCCTCCTCAACTGCTAAAACCCAACGTGTGCGAGGGGTACCCCAGAGTCGAAGACCTCTACCGGGTTCCCTGCTGAATATAATATTTGCTTGTAGTTTTCCGGCATTCGCAGTACATGCCCAGCCCACCGTAGTCTGCCGTGTTTTATAAACTGCACTATATCCGTACCGTTATACACTTGGTACAACTCGTGATTCATGCGAACCCGCCTGATGTCATTTTCTTGTTTACCGCCGAGTAGGGTTTTTGATCTAATTTCCGTCCTACAAAGCACAACCCGTGCTTTACCTCTCTTTTCTGAACAAGTTTAAACAAAAAACGGAATATTTCTGTCAAAGATGACATCTACATTTATTTATCTTTCCATTTGGATTTGATAAAGAATCACAAATTGTTGAAATATTGTATAAAATCTAATACTGCTTCTTGATTCTAAATTCGTTCTACGAGCTTCAATTCCGTCCTAACGCATTGAAACGGCATTAGGTTTTCTTTGTCCTACGGCCTAAGCGTGCTTCTTTTGTTTTGAGAACAATGATCGTAAATATTCATACAATGCGCTATAATTGGATTTATGTTGTAGCTAATAAACTAATGCATCAGAACAAACCTATTATTGATTTGTGCACGGTGAAATCATTGATATTATTGATCTTTTCTGATCGATAGAATTAAAATGGGCAATTACGACGAAGCAGCGCTCTACCCTATTGTTCGTAGAACCTTCCTGATAACTAACCGATAACATATAAATAACGCATGTTATAAAACCTTGTTTTGATATTATTCAGTTATCGAAATATTTTGTAAAATATCAAATACCTTAATATCAAAATTAAAAAATGTGATCTTTCAGTTTTAAGACAATAATACCTCAAAGAGTTATTGTATTGGTATTAGAAGACCTTTCAAATAACAAGTTATGGTATTCTGGCATAAAAAGCGTCGGTTATCCGTCAGTTATTATAAAAACAAAATTAATTATTAATTCGTTATTCGTAGACAGGGCTGTCATCTGATCACTCAATGTGCGCAATGTACTGATTTTCAGAAATAAACAAACTGAGAATCAAGCAAACACATAGTTTGCTTGTCTTTACCCTGCGCAAGCATAAAGCAGCGGAGAAGAGAAGACAGACACACACCCGGAAATAACGAGAGCTCAATGTGTAGCCATCGCTCCGACGGTTCCGACGCAAAGAGCGCCACTCTTCATTTCGTATGCATCCCGAGCAAGATAAAATAACTAATGAATACCTAATTCTGATCTGATACCAAAATTTGGTATTGACCCGCATGACATAAGAGGTAAAATACCATAGAAAAATTACATGCAAAATACTTTGTAAATACCAAAAATTGATATTTGGATACTGTTTTACCTCGGAACTGGTTCTTCCTTCCAGGATTGGTTTCTTGGTTGAAATTAGATTGGGCGCAGAAATTTCTTCCTTATGCGGTGAGTCATGGGATCCAATTCAGCACACAACACAATTACAGTTTATTTTTGTTCCATTAATAGTATGTACATTTAAACACTTTATTTGAAATCACTACACTGAACATCGAACATTTATTACAACTAACTACATCTATTACAAAATTAAAAACTGGTCCGGTGACCGTCTGCTCATCGAGCTGGCCCTTTTGTATCTTATAATTAAAACTGAAACCTAATTCTATGCCTTCTCGGTTCTTGACCTATCACAAAAGTGCATATGCAATTAATTTTACATTACATTACATACATTACTCTTAGTCTGTTGTAGTGGTGGAATCGTGTTTACACTTCAATCCTCCAGACGGTGACAATACAACACGTTCCACAGTCCCATGCAGCATTCGGTTGTGGAATTTGATGTTGAACGCACGGTTGTGATTATTTTTTTGTATTGCTCCTCAACAGATACCATATTGGTATTGCATTATCAGAATTTGGTATTGGAATGGTATTGTGGGAACATATTTTTGGTATTAGTTTTTGGTATTTTACCTCTTATGTCAGGCTCATCCATACCAATTTAAGGTATCGAGATATTCGTTCCTGCTCGGGATGCAGTCGTGGTAAGCAAAGTCTGCAAATAATTCAAAGAAGACATTAGGGGTATTCACTGTGCGCATCGTAAACATATACACTATCGTAAAAATAGCAGGGTCAGTTGGAGTGTAATGGAAGTTTACGCATTTACGAGGGTTTATACGTTTACGATGCGCTTTGTGAATAGCCCTATTAGCGCTTGTTGTATTATATTCGCTCCCTGCGCCGTACGGAGTGTACCGCTCATTGTGTGGATCGCTTTCTCACAGATTAGTTGAACAAGAGTGTGCGAAGTAAATGAGAGAACCACACACTCTTTGTCGATTGTTGTGAGATGCATGCACAAAGTTGTTTTGCTAACGCTCTTAGGTGCTTTCCAGTCCTGTCGTAGAACATTTTTGAGGTATTATTTTTGGTAATTTACTTCTTATGTCAGCCTCGTCAATACCATATTTAGGTTGCCATTTATACTATTTTCATACCTGAAATTGGTATCCATAAGGTATTTTCTCCTGCTCGGGTTACGTTCGAAGACACCAAATGCTCTTCGGTTAGATTCATGGCCGTAGAGGGCCACCGGTAGTATCAGCGTTTTATACAAAGCAAATTTCGTTTTCGTTTGCAAGCTACGGGACGTCAGCTGGTTACGTTATCCGTAAAAGGCCCTGTTTGCAGCTGCAATACGTCGCTTCACCTCGTGGGTAACATCATTACCGCATGTCACTATGGAACACTACCTCAAATTGTTCACCATATAACACCACTTCACTACCTAAACCACTATTGCTGCCACGCTGTCTACCGGCTGCCATGTACTTCGTTTTGGTAGAACTTATCGTGAGCCCAATCCTCACCGTCTTCCTCTTTAAAGGCAACAAAGGCCTCTTTCACTGCTTTACGGTCAATTCCGATGATATCGATGTCGTCCGCAAAGGCAAGGAGCATGTGCGATCGTTTGATGATGGTACCGTTCCTCTGCACACCATCTCTCCTAATCGCTTCTTCTAGAGCAATGTTGAATAGTAAGTTTGAAAGTGCATCGCCCTGCTTCAATCCATCTATGGTCACGAATGTGGTCGAAATCTCATCTGCAACCGGCACACTTGATTTCGATCCATCCAGCGTTGCGCAAATCAGTCTAATCAGTTTCGCAGGAAAACCATGTTCTAGCATAATCTGCCAAAGCTCATTTCTCTTCACTGAATCGTACGGTGCAATGAACTCAATAAACAGATGGTGAGTCTGCAAGTTGAAGTCCTGGAATTTATCAAGGATTTAACGAAGGGTAATCATTTGATCCGTCGTTGATCAGCCCTCACGAAAACCATCCTGGTATTCACCGACAAAGGACTCCTCTAGAGTCGGTGTATAATGAGTCTCAAGAGAAAAACAGTTGAACTCGCATCACGGTTTTCGAAAGATTCCATTTATTTTCACTTGGCAACAGAGCACTTTTACATCAACTTCAAATTACTTCTAGCGAGAAAAAAATAGCGGCTGTAGTAAATCATTATATCAGTGATTTTGTCAAATTATCTTAACAAAAAATAGTAGAACTTCTCATTACTGATCATTACCAAACGTATCCTATGCCAATTTAATTCTCACTGCGTGTTTATGATCATTTCTTCTATTATATTTTATATTTTATTGTAATACCTTTCGTGACCCTTTCATAGCATCGTAATGTTTGTTTACTTTGCACGATAGGTAGCCGGTTTGACAGTTCATTAGGTAGACTGGGCTTCACTCTTGGCGTGACTCATTATAAACCGACTCTAGACTCCTCAAACGTTCTCAATCTGTTAAACAGAACGCGTGACATTATTTTGTACACCAAATTCAGAAGACTTATTCCTCGATAATTGGCGCACTCCTGTCTGTGCCCTTTTTTGAATAATGGGCAAATGAGACCAGTCAACCAGCTAGCAGGCCGTTCTTCGTCTTTCCATATCTTCATTAGAATGCAGCTGGTCACATCCGTTTATGAAAAGTTCGGCCGGGAGCTTGTTTTTCCCAGCAGTCTTATTGTTTTCAGCTCGAGTATTGCCTTTTTAATCTCTTCTAGCGTTGGAGGCTCCACAGTTTGATCGTCGTATGCGATGTTCACTCTGTTTCTTGATACTCCTTCACTCTTTCCATTCAACAATG